CGGTTATTCTCGAATATAGTTTCAAATTTGTATAAAATGCGTGTGAAGATACCGACCCATATTCTTATAGGGATATTGAGATGGAAATGCTTAGTTTGTTTCTGCGAAATATTTTACTTTCTCGGGAGATTTGCCAGATAGTAATTTCAAACCACGGCTATAAAATTATGCTCAATTGACCCGAGATTAGATATTGTATTGTATTTTATTATAATACAATACAATATAGATGACTTGTGCAGGCAAATATGCCTACATTTCAGCCACAAATGTGTTCACCGTTACCATAGGCTAAAAAATGGATTCAAAATTCGTATACAACAATGATAAAACTAAATGGTGTTCATCTTTGTAGACTTAAGATTAATTCGTGACGGATCCTCACCGTTTCAGTGAGAATACGAACCAGATAGAGAACCGTTGAGTTTATGCGGGAGGATAAAATTGGATCGGGTTGAAGCGTGGGAACGGAANAACGGAAAGTAGATAAATCGGGATTGAGCGGATGACTGGGATCATTGAGTATCGTATGAGCGAAATTCTCACATGAAGTGATATGCAAATTACACAATTTTTTGATCAGAGTGTTTAAAGGAATAAGAGAAACGCGGCTGATAATTACCGGACCTCGACGTAGAGTAGTGAAATCCTTTTTAAGTAGTCCAGGGAAAATAACGGGCAAACAATAAAGTATGACTGGAAAAATACATTGATATAAAAGGAACATACAGTTTTACGTCTAACGCAAATTCGACGAAGCTTGCGTACTTGAAAAGATAACCGACGCAGTCTACCAACACAAGCAAGCACATGAGAGGACCACCGTAGATTGCCTTCTATGGTATTTGGTGGTATGTGTTCGGGTACGAAGTTGATGACTGAGGGTTCCGAGGGATAGTCAGATCGGTAACGCCTAAAATGCATTCAAAGGATTTAGAAGTATTCAACCGGAGACAGGATTGACTCGAGAATGATTGTAGTTGTAGTAAACTGTCGGAAAATGATTCCGTCCGATTGGTTTGAAATAGCTTGACATAAGACAACATTATCTGCATACTTAAGGGTCATGGCTGGTGGGATTGAAGGTAAGTCACTGATAAAAGTTGAAAATAAGAAGGGAGAGATCACAGCACCCTGAAGGACTCCAGAAATATTCACTAACGGTTTTGAAGTAGTGCCGTTTACTTTTGTTCTTTGAATTTTTCCTGTGAAATAATCTTTTAACGATGATAATAAGTTGTTGGGGCAACTGAATGGTCGTAACTTTTGCAGAAGAAGAGAGCGTGGAACGGAATCAAAAGCGGAAGAATAGTCAAGGAAAACACAACGAACAAACTTTTGAGGATCATTTAAAGAGTTGCAGATAAAGTGAATCACTGGAGAGACGGCAACTAAGGTGCATCTATTTGGCTTGCACGCAAACTGGAGGGGGTCATTGGGAACAATAATACCAGACTGCAAGCGGGTGAGAATAGCGTGCTCTGCAAGCTTAATTCCAGAGGAGGTGATGTCGATAGGACGAAAGCGTTTAGGTAAAATACTAAAGAAAGAAGATTTAGGAATAGAAACAATGGTGAACGGTCTCTAGGAATCCGAAATCGAACATGTATAAATGGATTGATTAATAAAGGACATAAACATCTCTTTGACTGAGATGGCGCCATATTTGAGCTATGACTGTGTTCGTGATTTTCGTAGTTTTGAGAAGACAATAGACCTCCTCATGGGAGACTCGGTCTATGACAGATAAGTGATCTGTGGAGTACGGAGACAGGAGATCATTCGAAGGATAAATGAATAAAGCATTGAGGCTGTCCACGTCAACAGTTTTGTTTGTTGTCCGTTTCTTCTGGGCACAAAGCAATCTGATCCCTTGCCATAACCGTCTTCCATCTCCAGCTCTCAGAACCGGCTTTGCGAATGAAGCAATCAGTCTCTTGATCTCTGTCCTGATTTCCAGTGTAAGCTGTTTAACAGTGGCTGTGATGCATTTTGAACGCTAGTTCTTTTTGTCTTGTAAGAGCTTTTAATCGCGGAGAGCATACTCTGTCATTGTGAACAAAAACTGTTTCCACAGGACAGTATAGATTGAAAATCGCATCAACTGTTTCTGTAAAATGTTTAACAGAACAGGGAGATTGTTGAACCGGAAACCATGAAGAGATGATAGCAGGAGATTTCCTCAGGAAACGGAGTCTGTCGGCTGAAAGATTCCGAATTTTCGTGTTCATTTGTTTTGTTTGAATAAAAGTGGGGTAAACCAACCGAGATGTAGGAGACAGTGGTCACTAAACGAGATTGGTGCCTTGAGTCTGAGAGAGAAAATATTAGGATAATTAGTAATAACCTTGTCCAAAACAACATTTACTCTGGTGGGTGTTAGAGAGAGATCTGATAGACCGAAAGAAAGTAAAGGTTGGGTTGATCCTTGATTAAAATCACCAACAATAATAAAGGAGTTGCAAATACCGTTGATTTTCGTAATCAAACTTGGCCTCTGGTGGTTTCTTCGACTATAGAAAACGTATGCTCATTCACAATACACTATCAATATTGCAAATGGACAGAACTGATTGGGTCATCAAACATTCAGGCTCCAACTTCTGGAAGTTTGGTTTCAGAACGCAACTTTCATGCAAATGAGCTGGCATTGTACCGGTTACTCACATCCACAGGTTCTGATCGGTTCAAAATTCAAAGGATTCCTGGCAATTCTGAGTATTGCAATCCAAAAAGCGGTGAAAATGCTCTCCTTGGACAACGATTTTTGAAAATAAGTTTGGCAAACTTCACAAACATAGTCAAGGACATGCCTGTTTACAAATATGTTTGTTTTTAAACGGAAGTGATACGAGAGGAATTCATAAATTCGGGGTTGGACTGAGTTTATACTCAATCAGTCGTTTGGGGTTGGATTGAACGTAGAAAGTAAATGCAGTAAAAGAGAATTAAACAGGAAAAAATCCGTTAATCAAGGTCTAATGACTACATCCTTGGAAATCTCGTCAGGGAGCGATAGTCAAGAAAATTTTGTATGAAAAAGATGAGCAAGTACCTATTATAAATGCGAGTATGCAAATGTTGGCGTTTTCGCATTCGGTAACTTCCAACCTATTGATCCTTAAGTTTTGACGAAATTTATGTGATTCAATGTAACGTTTGCTATTTTAGGCTTCATAAACTGCATCAAATATCACCGAGTTTATTATTTCGCATAAACTAATTTATTTCACGGAAAATAAAAATAAAATTTAATGAGAGATACATAAGGATTCAAGCTTATCATCACAGTGGCTCAGAGGTCTTGTGTTCATTGATATCCGTTTTCCTTATTCCGTTAGATATTGTTTACTTTTACGCAGCCTTCTAGTTGGAAATTCAATAAACAGTTCCACAATCAATAAACAAAAAGGAAGCAAAAATATCATTGTAGGATATCAGTGGAAAGTTCCGTCCCTGTGTGAGGCAACTTGTACGCATGTCCTTTTAGATTGAAACCATGTTCAAGAACTTGGCCAAAAGTTCTATCAGTAAGATAATAAAGCTCATATGGTCTCCGTTGTTGTCTGCACTCATTAGTGAAATCAATTGACGTGCACTTGTTATAATTGTCTTTGCAAAGAGGTCTACTTTATCCCCATTTGTTGCATTTTGTCTGCTCTAGGTTTGCGCACCGTTCAGTACTCAATTTGTTCCTCTTATTCACCAGTTTACACTGGTATTTCCACTAGATTTAAAGACCCTTTGTGTTGTGATGCACTTGGAAACCAAATCACTTGTGTTTCTATTGAGCCGAATTTTTGTGATATGTACAATAAAGAACCCAGTTGTTTAAATCAAGTTTCAAGAAAAGGATGTAGACACATGGTTCTCTTTTTTTGTTGTTAGCGTTTGATGAAGAAGTGAAGCTTCCTTTGGACGAATCCAGTCTGTTTCGATTATTGGACGTCATCATAGGTGGTCAAGTAAGTTGGCTATCACAAGCAAAAGACACCTAGAATTTTGATCTATATCCTAAATCATTCTGGCAGTACAATTTCATTTAGGAACGTACCAATTAAACTGAATATTTATACCCTAGAAATAAATAACCATATTTTTCGCCAATTAACCATCTAAGACAAGAACATTCATGAAATATTCGCTCCGAACTAATCAATTAGATGGATAATAATGCCCGTGGGCTAAGCTATTATGGGCTTCAATATTCATTTTGGGGGTCATTTTGTCAAACAGGAAAGTTACAACTTTGTGAAAGACAACAACGACAAAACGACCGTTAGCTTCATCACTCATATTGCCACTACTCTCGTTTCATCACATATTTCACCAAAGCAGTTGGTCCATATTGGTCGAATAACTGACTGAGAACCTAAAGCGATAAACCATAAATGATGATGCTATTAAAATTTTCAATCACAAAAGTGGTCATACAAAATCATTTACGTGATCAATTAGTATTTTTTACTAAATATTCTCTCTTCAGATAGATTGTTACCTTTTTCGGCAGGTTACGTTTTCACTAGGTATATGTTTTTTTCAGATTCACATCAAAATACACAATATAGGTAAATCAAATTGTTTCAGGCAATTCATATGTTTTTCGTAGTCTTCATTATCTTTGGCATCTTCACTACAAGATTGCTTATAAATTCTGAAGATTTGTCAATTTAGGCTATCCTAGGAATCGAATCGCAAAATTATGCTATTGCTCGGACCTACCATTATTTGTAGTGTCAGCAATGGTCGTCAAACTTTATTCTTGAACGATGCAATCAAAAACCCTAACCGACATGCAACATGGCAACATACAGCTATGACGCGCAATAATTCGGAATGAAGACAATAAAACTGGTACATGCTCAATAAAATGGGGGCTTTTCGGACCAAGTTATGAGTGATTATGCTAAGAAATGTGACAGTAGTAACTTGTAAGAAGTTTATGAAAATCGGTTATGCAATCTTACGCATAGTATCAGTGAATCATTTTGGTGCGCCTCTAAACAGTCATACAAGAGAAGTCTTTTGTTTTCTATCTGTGGCCTTCTCGACTCAAATTAGCTGGGTTCGACGAACCCGTAATGCCGAGTCAGCTTTACCTTGTGTTCCAGTACGTCATTTTAATTACTCTCTTTCTTCATGCAAAAAGTTGAGATTTTACCACGGCAAGTTGCGTCCAGTCAACCACACTGAATTTTGTCCCCTTTTCGTTCCAGAACAAACTTGGCATTCGATTAATTTTCAGCACTTTGAAGAACGCGGCCGATTTGTTAGAAAAACAACCAAATATTACTGAAATCGATCTGTATCAGCATGAGGCTGTCGCCGTGTGTGGAGATATTCACGGAAATATTCATGCTATACTGCAGTTTTTAAAACAGGTTGGTTTATCATTCGGTGGATATCAGTATCAGATCCAAAAATAGAACGGATGTTGTTGAAGTTGTGCTTTTTGCTCATAGTATTAGATTAGTATAAAAACTTTTGGCTTAGCTACGACGATGAACGATAAGGAACAATAAATCCATTTCGGTGACGACTTTTCGACCCTTTTGGAAGTTATTTTTACAGTCAGTTTAATAAGGCCTTTTCAAACGTCTTTTGGATCTTCCTCATCGTAGCTAAGTTAGCCATTTCTGTAGGGATCTAAAGTGTTTCGTTTTTGTTAAACTGTCAGAAATGTTCTTCGGAGTTTGTTGTTTTGCACAGTCTTCTTCACTTTTAAATAACATTTTTTATGTATGTCTGTTCCTAAAGAATGGCATGCCCTCCGAAAAAAGACCAGTCATTTTCAATGGGGATTTTGTGGATCGTGGAAGTAAATCCGTCGAAGTACTGATTCTCGTCCTAACACTATTTCTGACGTACCCAAACTGCGTTTTTCTAAACCGAGGAAATCATGAAGACATGGCAGTCAACGAGCAGTAAGTGCCTTTTCGATTAAACTATTCTTACGAATATCGGTCATGTCTTTAATGATTTTACCTCAAGTAATATAGCGATTTGAATTCTCTAAGTTCACTTCGAATGCCATGTTTTGTGAAGAATGTATTTTTGGGGTGGGATCTGACATAAGATACTGTTGTAATCCAAGGCGTACAAACCACACTCACACTTTGCTTGTTGTGATAGTGGTATGCAATGTGATGAGGTATTTAGGTGTATTGTATATCTTTAACGTTTAAGCTTGTCCATAAAGGTGCATGATTAGATGAACTGGGCGGTTGACCTTGATAGACAGGCTGTGGTTAGATGAGGGCTTCGGTTTTGGACCACCGAAAAAGTTCGACAGATTTGGCTAGGATATCTTGGTAGTACTCTTTTCATCAGAAAATAATAATAAGACCAATGCTATTGGCGTGGCCTCGTAGCTCAGCTGGTAGAGTGTGCACTGTACAAAAGCTTTGGTGGCGTCCACGCGTGGGTTTGAATCCCACCGAGGTTGCTGAACTTTTCACAATCTCGACATGAAGACCATATCTACCAAACAACAATTTGAAGAAAATAAAACATTGATTTCCATATTGCAAATATTGTCATCCCGCGATTTGTTTGAAAATTTGGTATGGACTCAGGAGCGTACAGATATAAAATAATATACAATTGTCTTAGGAGAAAGAAGCTCCTGCCGGTTGAGATCTATATTGGGGGAAACAGAGGAACAAACTAAATGCACCGAGTTTCACAATTTTCTTCCCTTCATAATTACTACTAATGATAATTTACAACCAATTAATTCCGTCCACCTTTTCCCTTTGATAAACGCTGAAAAAATTGTTGTATGTTTGTCAAAACTTCATCTATTTAAAGTCTGCCAAAACGTTTTGTCTGATAGCAGATCGATCAATTCCAATAGGATTTACGAAGTCTGCCTGTTTCGAGTTTAATTTCCCCTCTTATCCATTTTCTTCATGGGAGTATTTCGGTTGGTACATCGTCACACTTGTCGCCTATTCTGAAAGTTATATGCTCCGGTTGTCATGGCGGCGACAGAAACAAAGTACCACGCCCAAGGGTATGCGGTTTCATTTCCAGTGGTCCGTCCGTTCGATGGTTCGTCTGTGCTCGGTATTCGGGTCAAAAAGCACAGCTCACTATTATTGTCTTGATTTGCCGTTTGAAATCGAATATTACATGTGCCAAGCAAAACTGAGCTAATCAAATGGATAGCATATTAATTCTAAAGCTCGTAGCCATTGGAAACAAGACGTGGCAACGGTGGTAGAATAAACATGAATTACGTTCCAACGATTTGTTTATAATCGGGTAGAGATCAATGAATTCTAGCTACGTAAGCAACAGTAGCGATAAGTGCAATGCCAAGAGAAATATTTGCGCTACACGCCATTCTATGATGCTTTGGTCGACGAGATGAATATGTTGCTATAGAGGATGTAAAAAGTAAATGTAACGATAATCAAACAGATGGGTGGATGGGTGCGGGGGGAGGGGGGAATGAATGATTAGTTGGTTTTGATTGATATGATGGAAGCCTTGAAAACAGATAACCTCGTTTGAGATGAATTAAAATAATTAATGAAAAAGTGAGGATAACAAACAGGGTTGCAGAAAGTGAACAAATTTGAAACTGGTATTCACTCAAACCAATTAGGGCCACTAAAATTCAGTCTGATTTTCTCCACATATAATCACGTGTGAAGAAAAGTATTTTCATTTTTTTCTGGGAAGATCTGAACCATATTGTTTTTATTGCTGTTCTGCATTCATGTTTATATGTACTGGTGAAACAAGAATGCTAGAATATTCTGCACTCGACTGAGCTGCAGACGTACCCGATAGGGTAAAACTCCGCTGGTTGTGTGCTTATCTCGATAAAACTGATAATAATAACATCTAGACATTCAAAGGAGATCTGTTAATGGGATGTGTGACAACCATTTCACCTGATCTCGTCATCCTCAATGGTTAACCAAATAAACAGATTGGGATCTGACATGACTAGTGTGCTGATTTTACTTTCGGCCTAGTTAAGTGTGCAGGGCGCTTTTATTTGCAAATGTTTTCCGCCTGTGTCGATCGAGAAGATTGAAAAGTGACATTGCTTCACTTTACATCTGGATTGATTTTGCTACATCTCATGTGCAAACTACGGGCAACAATGCAACGAGAATAATAAAGTTGAAAAGTTATCGGAGTATAATGAACAGGTTTGGCAATCTTACCATGATCGGACCTGGGAAACTAATATTAAACAACTACCTCATGGCAACTTGTGAATATTGGCTTTTTTGTTACACTTTACTTCCATCAGGTCAGAATGCTTGAAACGGTATGTACGCAGTGTTCGATTGAGTACTCTGTGTGTTGACCATAGCGGCTCACCTTGTTCTCCCTCCCTCAAAATAGATCCAATCCTTGTCCACCTTAAATTTTACCACTAACCTTGTATGTATTGCGACTTTGGCAACGATCATTGAAGTTTGCCTAACTGTATTTAGCTGTACGATGATGATGATTGGAAGCAATACACTGGAAGGTAGGCGTGTGTGTGTGTGTGTGTGTAATCACCATGTGGGATTGGAATATGCGTATTTAGTTGATTGTAAAGCTTGTACAACGACAGTGAAGTGTGTTAAAGTACCCTCAAGCAGATTTGATTGTGGATCCGGTCAAGGTAGATAACTGAGAGCTCAAATACAAACGGGTAGACAGTATTAGCTGAAACTGGTTCTTTAACCGGAAGATCTGGCACGGTTTCTGAAGAAAATCCCCAAAGCTGGTAACTAATTATAAGGCAGTACCAAATGTTTTCCCTCCTAGGGATAACTTGCTGACTGTTGGTTGGAAAAGATTTTTGTTCTTTTTATTCGTTTATTTCAGCTACGGGTTTAAGAAGGAGGTTTGCTTCAAGTATCCGGTAAGTCATTGTCCAACTTTTCACTCCAATTAATGAAAACAAATGTTGTGCCCAATTTCCTCAAGGACGTTTAGAAATGTGACAAACAATGAAATCTGAAAAATTTAGTCTTATTTTGCTTTTGAAATCGAATCTAGTTTGCGAAGTTTCACGAGGACGAGTCTGGACGTCATTGTTCTCTTTATAGGTGAAGGGTACTTGATTTAATACTTAATAATAATAATAATTAATAATTTTCCCCTGGAGAATGTAGTTGATTGAACGGAATTGTTTTTGGCAAACACTCAGACGTGTATATGCAGCTGTGCTACAGGAAATGCTATTCTGGTTTGACCCTATGCGATATTCCCCATGAAGATAGTCACATCACAGTTCATTATTCGATGTATTCAGACTTCTAAAAGTAGATAATGTTTTTTGACAAATAGAGAAGCGCTCGAAATATGCTCCTTAGCTAATTGAAACTCACTAATCGTAACGCAAAAATATTGAAAAATGTACGGTAAAACACACAATAAATTGTTTTTGTTCCTGTTATCTACTGTTTTCCATAGTAACTGTTCAAACTTCGTCACAGTCGGTTCTGTATCTCAATCCACTCATCCCATTTTTCTGTTATTATTGATGTGTCANATCACGCTTGTCCACAAGCCGGTGTTATATATATATATATATATATATATATATATTCAATGAAAAAATCGTCTTATTGGATCTCCCACGGGTTTACAATATTCCATTTGTATATACTTTGCATGGACAGATGTCCGCGTTTCAGCCAAAAAACACATCATTTTATCCAAAGAAGGAAATAATACGGGTAAAAAATTTAACCTCCAAAGTTGCTGACAAATTCAGAAGAAACGCACTGTCAGCTTGTAGGGATAGAGAAATGATGAATTTATGTAGAGGTTAATGCAAAAGAGTAATAAACTATATGTAGAACACGTTGGTGAATGAAAGCGACATTTGGACAGATCGCCATTTAGAGGATGATTGGGGTCAGAGAGTATTTCCCGTGCAAATGTTTCATATACGGACAGGTGTAGTTCACACAATTTTTTAAACAGATCAACAACGGGTTTAAAAGACAAGACCGATAATCGACAAACCCCAACGAATAGTCTTGAAATATTCCTTAAATAGTCCAGCAAAAGCTGCCGGGAACGATAAGAAAAGAATAGGAAAAACACATTGGCAAATAAAAAGGTAAATGATTTTTTGTTTGGCGTTGAATTGACCAAGTCTTCGAAGTGGAAAATATAATCCACAAAATTTCTTTACACAGTTTTAAATAAGAGAGGACCAGTTTAAGATTGCGGTAATGGTTACTCCTAAATCCTTCAAAGAATCTACTCTAGTTAAAGAATCTGTGTTTACGACGGTGGGTTCAAGCGGATAAACGAAATCAAAAATGAACTGTTAATCTTGCTCTTCTAAAATCCGTGATGTAACTTCCGCTTTTATGTAAACGAACTGTTTACTTGTTGAATCGAGACAAAATTAACTTCGGAAAGTAAGTTCATATTCCATCCAGAAAACCACTTTGATGTCTTGTAAGGTCCTTATGTAACTGAGCTGCCATTGACGAACGTTACCGTCGGTGGACTGCCTTCTTAACCTCGACATTAATTAGTCACCATTCTCCTAAAACGGGCCCACATTCTCCACACAGGTTGAAACTGAAAATATCACCCTGTGGTAGTTGAGCCGAAGTGCTATACACTTCCCTCACCGTTGTAGAATTCAGCTATATATCTTCCATTGATAACTTTATTGATACAGCTCAAATGTGCATCGCCTGGGATAATTTTTGAAGCTATCATATTTTTCCAATTGGAACGCCCGTTTTTGAATATATGTGCATTTTTGCTCCCCACTTGTGTTGCTATTTGCGAGGGTTCGGTTTTGCATGATATCGTGCGTTATTCGTTACTTTCGCATTGTCACCTCGCATTTGTTGTCTCCATTTCATGACTGATTTCAATCTGGAAAAGAATGAATCCAAGCAGTTGCTAAAGTTATGCTCGCACTTGTTTTGCCGAATTCCCGTGGCCTGCATAATCAATAAGGTCATTCTTGTCTGCCACGGAGGGGTTGCTGCTTGCACAAATCTTGAGCGATTACGGGAACTAGATCGGACCAAGGTAAGCAAACTGGACTAGTACACCTGATACATGTTTGAGGTAGTTGAATCCTCATAGTCATATGTTTTAAGAGTTTTCTTCATCAAAGACAGCATTTGATCTTATGTATTGGATCGATGTGGCTCGGGAGATTGAATGCTGGAAACGAAAATAGCTGTTCGGGTGGAGGTTATTTGCTTCTATTTAAGGTTAACCGATTTCAGAAGTGAGGAGTTCGCCATTAATTAGGTAAAAATGGTCAATTTGTCCTTTGGTGTGAGATAATTTAGGTCCTATCCAATGTAAAATTAAACCCGGATAATTGGTACCTTAATGATTCTTAGTATAAGTTGTCATCACATTGTTACAAAGGTCTTGTATTTGAGTATTGCCACCACAACCACCATTACCGCCACCCCCTAACTTGCCTGTTATTTTGCATCCCCAGCAGGTTAATGTATTGCCGCTTGTTTACCAAGATGATGGCAGAATTATATTTTAAAAAAACACGGTAAAAAGAACAGAAAGCGATTCTGATCAAGTTAATTCGTTCATTCTACCTAAGTGTTCCAAATATGGAGCATCGTTACAATCGCACAGTTAAAAGTTTCATAATGTTTTTGAATAGTTTTGAATTGTATATGTTAAATTCAAATCAGGCTAAACACAAATCTTATGACCATTTAGTTTCTTTTCTGCTGTGCCAACGCACCAAATCAGAGCGGTTTCCATTTCGGAAGAGAGATACTGTGCATAAGACACCTACACTAAGGAGGATTTTGTAACAGCCTCATATTACAGAAACCAGAACCGCATACATCGTAGATTTCAGTGACGCTTTTTACTCCATAGACCAAAATTTACAACTATATGTACTACGAGCCAATGGAATACCACTTATACTCATCAACCGCCTAGTATCCCAGTACTCCTCAACCAGGGCGCAAGTCCGTGCTTATGGGAAGCGGTCGACCGAATTCAAATGTGGGGTTACCCGCTTTAGCCAATATTGTTCAACTACGTGATCAACGAGCCCTCAGAGACCACTTTGAAATGCATCCCAAAGAGATCTATGAGTTTTAATCTCCATTTTTAAGATTAAATTGTTATTCTTGTTTTTTGGCACATTCTTGCCCCAGACGTGTGTGACAAAAACGTACTAAGCGATACCCGTAAATACTTTTTCATCAAAGCAGCGGTTTCGCAAATAAACATCTCCCAAACTGAGATTCAACTGCTGCCGATAATCGAACAGTCTGCATCTTATTTTCTGTGGAATCTGTGGAAAATGAACCAGTCTCTAAATTGATTGAATCCACTATGCTATCAAGAGAGCAAGCCATGAACGGAATCTAAATTCTCCTCGGTAGCACTGGAATGCCATTTCTTCAGTTAAAGGAGTTGCGAAATAAGTCTCAAAGGCAAGGTGCTCATCTAAAAAGCTGATTTTCACCCTATATTTACATATGACAGAAAAGCGCATCTACTTCTTGAGGAGAAGAAAATTTTCCGGAGATCTTTGATCACTTGTGTCTAGGTCGCGTAGCGAAAGAGATAATACGACCGAATTTCCGGCGATGTTCATCAACACTGCATTAACACTGAATTTCTGCACAACTTCCCGCGAAGTAAACGTCTGTAGTTGTGCCACCATGTTGTCAGAAGGCTATCAAATAAACTCACAAAACTACACTTGGTTGTAGTGTTACGGCCGACGTGAATGTGTCACTAACTGAGAACCTAGATCTTCACAATCCGTGCTGACACGGATCTCTTACGTTTGCGAACAGTTAATAGTGCTCGGAGCTGGAGTTTATTCTGATAAGAAATCTGCGTAGAACCATTCTTGGATCGCTCCTTCCCTCTCCATATGGTCGGCTATGAATAGAGGCATCCACGAATTTGACATATCTTCAAGCTGGAATTACTGGCTCAAGTACATATATCATCTACAAGGCGACTATATATCAGATAATTGTACAACTCAAAGTGAATCAAAAGAGTTTCGTTGGAAGAGGCATATGGAACGGTAGATGTATGGTAAACTAAAGGATCTTATAATCATTTTTATTTTACCCATTTTCGTGCTATTTTGTCAAAAAAATTGGTAACTATAGTTGTTTGATTGGCTTATTCTGTTCCACATAATTATACGATGCTATTTTTTGACAGTTTCCCTCTGTTTTAAGCCCAAATTTCGATGGAGATGAGGCAGTATCCATCAAAGACTGGGAACAGGTAATTCTTTACTCAAATTTTGAGGTCTTATTGACTTTTTTCCAAAAACAGTTTGGATGTTCTAAAAACCTGATCCTTGCTAAGTAATTCCGTTTGTCCTAGCGGATGGAATAACTTGTTTTTCTTATCTTGCTGTTTTCATTTTTACAACCACTTACCATAGTTCTTAATGCCTCAATTTTGGTTACTATTTTTGGGATGCCCATTTGAATAGAATAGCAGAAGACAGAATAAAATATTGAGAGCAGGACCAAAGAGAATCCATAGAATCCAAANCTGGAGATTTAGCCATACCAGTCAGTGTCTATAGCCGCCAGTTCCCGTGATCTCGGGATCACCATCCATGGATACTCATGACAAGTCTTAGTTTGACCGCTCTGGAACTTTTTCCATCCACTAACTGCCGCGGCAAACAGTGCACACCACGGTAACCTATTTGGTGATATTTGCGATACATGTTTCTACCGGTGAAATCTATGGAGGCTGACCACTTGTTCCAGTGAACAACCGCATTTACCTAAAACTCTGCGTCTAACGTCAGCATTGATTGCCCGGTTTCTTCAACGGACGCGTGCAATGCGGCATAGGCAGTGGTATTCGAACACTGACAGTAAAGTTTATCCTGTTCTCATATTGTTCAAGTCTCTGTACTGTGAAGCAGCTCTAACCGAACTGCTGATACATATAATAAACAGCAGGATCTCGAAAAGGCGCCACAGATGTCTCAAGTTGGCAAATGTCAATCGATCCTTCTGTATGTATTCCGACAATTCCTCTGTTACTCGTCCACCAGATGAGGTAAAGCTGCCCAGATAGCAGAATTTTTTAACTTCCTTGTAGTAACATCTTACACCTTGAACGTGAAAACGCATATTGGACTTGGCTATACTAGCACTCAAACTAGCTAGAACAACGGGGTCGTCAATTAGCGGCACAGTGTCGTCTACATGTTCCAGATCAGACAGTCTACCACCTGGAAGCAAATTGATGCCACTATCATCGTATGAGGAAGACAAGGATGTTTCAAGAATCATATCTATCTATCTTTTGTATTCTCTGTAAATCGGCAAGATAACCTATTCACACCATCCAGGATTTTTGTCAACTCCAAGGCCAAGGCTAACCCTCCATTCTTAAAGGTCGATGGGGCCAGCCGGTTCAGGTTGGAAGCCTTACACATTCAGCATTGGCTTATTTCCTTGAAAACTTCTACTTGAGATGAAGGACTGATATCAACTGGCATTAGTTGACCATTTGATTTAGGGGTTCATAGACCCAACGTCAATAGGGGTTAATCGAACTGAGCCTCAACATATTCAGTCCAGCATTCAAGACGGAGTTACAAACTGTAAATCAGTGTGCCACCAGACTTCTGAATTACCTTATGCCTAATTTCCTTGAGCCCGTACTCCTAACTAAAAGAACAGGATAGTGACTATTATCCATGGTCGCAGTCTTCATCTGCTTACAGATACTGTTTGTTGTTTTTGAGATGAAGTGCAAGCGAAGTAATTATAAGGACTTTATGTAGTATATTCTAAACTGGAGAACAAATCAGGCTGTAAGATGATGCACGAGACATATTACTAAAACTATTTCCTATCGTCTCTCCATAATACGTCTTTGATATATTGACCATATATAATGCACTAAACAACTGAATAATTTTCACCGTTGACTTGACGACGTTAAGAGTTTCCAATGTATCCCCATTTTGGAATTAAATCAAGCGTTTCCGTCGCTTTCTACGACATCACGTTCAGTTCAGTTCATACAGCCAGAAAC